GCAGGGGGGTGCGGGGGCCGGAGGCCCATCGGCCAGCGGGACCTCCGGCGAGCGGTGGCGGGTCGCCCTCGCCGCCGGACAACGCGGAGGAGGGAAGGGGGTGACGAGGGCGGCTGGGATGGGGGCGCGGCCTCCCCAGGCGGCCGAGGGTTACGAGGGCACCGGCGGAGGGGGGGATGGCGGTGGTGACGATGGCGGCGGTGTGGTTGGCTGAGACGAGCGTGAGAGGGAGAAAGAGAGAGAAGTGACGCTGGCTTGAGCCGCATATAGGGTTAATACCTCGACGCTACAGATCTTTAGCGCCGAGCTCTGCGCTGTGATCCGTGGCGCCGAGGTGTGTGCCACGTAAGCGCCATATTGTCGTCCACTCAAAATAGGGCCAGGCACCTCGGCGCCGTGAGTCACGACGCCAAGACGTGTAACCTTGGCGTCGTGAATCACGGCGCCGATCTCCAGGGTCCAAAGCTGAGTTTACATCGCCTAGGGGTCTAAACCTGATTTTTTTTAAAAAAGGTCAAATTGCAAAAAATTAGGCGTCTGGCACCATCCTTGGTGTTGTCGATGCCGGCAGCCCCGTCGTTGCAACAACCACCATCACCAACTGCCGAGGTACGACAATGGCGCCGGCACTGGCGTGGCCACCGACGTGGCGCATGCTTCGAAGAAGAGCAAGCCCAAGAAGATCCCGCAGCGTGGCCTAGACGTGGCGCAGCTCGAGAAACTGCGGATCAAGGAGCAGAAGAAGATGGAGGGAGTCGCTGCCATGTTGATGTTGAGGGCCACGCACCTTTAAAAAAAAAGGAGTTTTACCTCTGCTTTTGTAGAAAGCAACAGAAATATATGGTACATGCTGGGGTTACCAGCTACAAAAAGAGCATCAACAGAATCACAACTCTATTATAGAGACTATCAGCCTGTTCGGTTGGCTGGTTCATATCGTTGCTGGTTCGTGAAGAAGTACTGCTGGCTGGTTTGTGTGAGAAAAAAATACTGTTTCGGCTGGAAATTTACGATCGTTTACGATAAGCCACAGCCAAACGAACAGGCTATATATTTCTACAATGTCAGACTCAGAATAGGCGCTGGGCTGGAAGTTCTTCATCCACTGCATGATATCATCCTTAGCGAGATCAAAGAGCTTCCTGTCTTCCTCCTTTAGCAACAGCCTCCACTTCTGCATTAAGGATATAGCACAATAGATGACATCAGAAGGAGCTTTAGGAAAAATTTTCTCTATCGCCATCTTGTTCCTTGTCGTCCAGATTGTCCAAGCAAATCCTGCAAACATGAATATGATCATTCTACTAGGAAAGGGTCCCTTGCCCTGAATCCAGAAACTAAACTCCCCAATAGACTTTGGAGCACGCAGGTTGAAAACCTCCTCGATCACACACCAAACAAACTTAGCAATGTGATATTTAAAGAAAATGTGATCCACCGATTCAGAGTTCCCACACACACAGCAGCCCCTGCTGCCTTTCCACCCCTTTTGATCAGACTTTGTGCAACCTGCAGTTTGTTATTAAAAATCTGCCACAAGAAAACCTTGATCTTTACTGGCAGTTTAGCTTTCCAAATGTAACTAGCCATTTTACTAGCTACCCCACAATCAGTTAAGAATCGATATAGTGATTTAGTTGAGAATTTCTTATTACTTTCAAGAGCCCAGATAACTGAATCCCGGTTAGAATTTAAATTGACAGCTTGAAGTTCACCCACCAGCTCCAACGTTCTGTTATATTCACTCACAGATAAAGTTCTCCTGAACTCTATCCCCCATTGGCCTTCATCTAGAAAATCTGCCACAGAACTATTAGGCTCTCTCACCATCTTGAACGGATCATCATATGAAATGCAGAGAGGTACTTCATGTAACCAACAATCTAACCAGAACTTGCAGTGACATCTATCTCCAACTCTAAAGATAGCCCCCCACTTAAAAAGATATTTGACTTTATGTTAGAATAAAAAAAACTCCCCTCAGGCATATATTTAGCCTTAACCAATTTAAACCACAAGTCATCTGGTTCTTGAAAGAGTTTCCAAATCCACTTAACCAACAAACAATCATTCATGGTTCCTGTATTTATGATGCCTAGACCCCCCTGGTCCTTAGGCCTAGTAACCATCTCCCATTTTGTCATATAATACTTGAAATTGCCATCGGCCCCTTGCCAAAGGAACTTTGCCCTAATACTATCCATTTGTTTATGTACCCCATCCTGGAGATAATATAACCCCATACAGTAGATAGGAATACTACTCAAACAAGAATTAGTGAGAATATGTTTACCCCCAGAAGTTAAATGCTTCCCTTTCCAAGGGTCCAATATCCTAAAAATTTTCTGAACAATATGACTAAAGCCAGAGCTATAGTGATCTGAGAGTCACTCACAGGAATCCCCAAGTACTTAACAAGTAAATCTCCCAAAACACAATTCAGTTTGTTGGCCATAAGTTCTTTCTCCCCTTGAGTAACCCAAAAACAAAAACTTCACTCTTATGAAAATTAAATTTCAGCCCAGATAACCATTCAAAGCAGTATAATACCAATTTCAAATTAATTATAGATTGCTCTGAACCGTCTATCATCAGAACAGTATCATCTGCATACTGCATGTGAGAGATCCCCCTAGGGATAAGATCATCCAAAACCCCTTTAATATGATTTTTTGGACAGCCTTTTCTATCATTACCCCTAGAGCATCAACTACCAGGTTAAAGAGAAGAGGGGATAGTGGATCTCCCTGTCGAAGTCCTCTATAAGTTCTAAAGTAGGAGCTTCTCTCCATTAACATTCACACACACTCTACCCTCTTTAACAGTATCCATGATCCATTTGATCCATTAAGAAGGGAACCCTCTCCCTTCCAAAATCTTCTCAAAAAATCCCATCTCACACTGTCATATGTCTTCTCAAAATCAATCTTTAAAATCAAACCTTTTCTCTTAGACTTCCTCATCTCATGTAAGACTTTATGTAGCACCACCACTCCTTCCAAGATATTTCTCCCTTTTATAAATCCAGTTTGGTTTCTCCCAATACACTTTTAAGCAATAGGAACTAGTCTATTAGTGAGAACCTTGGTAAACCATTTGTAACCCACATTGAGCAGACAAATAGGTCTGAACTGCTTTATAGTGTTAGCCTCTTTAAGCCTTGGAACCAAGGTAATCACCCTATAATTAAGTCTTTTGATGTCCAACAGACCAGCCCAAAAATCCTGAAACATTGCCATCAAATCCTTCTTGATTAATTCCCAAAAATTCTTGTAGAAAGTGACTCCAAAGCCATATGGACCAGGAGCAGAACACTCTTTCATCTCCATTATAACAGATTTAATCTCCTCCAGACTAAAAGCTTTAATCAAGTCAGCTTTATCCCCATCATCCAGAGTTAAACTAGATGGACAAAAATTGCCCCCTAGCCCCAAAAAACAGGCATCATTATGTCCAAACAAACCCTTGTAATAATCTACCACATGAGCAGTCACCTCCTTTTGTCCTCTGATTTCTCCATTATCTGTCTCCAAATATGCAATATTATTCTTCCTCCTTCTCCCATTAGCAAACTGGTGGCAACACTTAGTGTTAGCATCACCTTTTAGAATCCAATTATCACCAACCCTTTGTTTCCAGTATATTTCTTCTAATTTGTCCATTTCCCCCAGCTGTTTCTCCAAATCAATCCTCTCCTCCCGTTCCAAGATATCTAATAGTCTGCTTTCAGCAAAAGAGTCAATTTCCTGAATTCTCTTGGTTATACTAACTTTGTTCTCCCTTTGTGAACCAACCAAATTCAGGTTCCACCCTTTTAAAAACTTCCTAAGAGCTTGCAGGCACCCATGCCACTTGTCCAAAGAGTAAGTTTGGTCACTAAATTTGGCCCTGACTTCACTCCATTTATAAGAAACCATCTTGTGGAAACCATCACTGTGCATCCATTGTTCTTGAAAGAAGAAGTATTTTAGCCTGGGTTTCCCCTGTTCCCCAGAATCCAAAATCAGGGGGCAGTGGTCAGAGTCCACCCTAGCTTTTGACCAAGCAAAGCATTTGGGAAACCTGTCCTCCCAATCATCAGTAGCTAGAATTCTATCTAATTTCACCAGAATAGGATGCTTCTGTTTATTAGACCAAGTAAATTTAGCACCTGACATAAAAAGCTCCCTTAGATGAAATCTCCCAATGAAGTCATTGAACAAAGTCATCAATTTCTGGTCCCCTTGACCAACATTCCTTTCTTTATCACTTCTAATCAGATTAAAGTCGCCCCCCAACAGGATAGGTAAAGATTCCTTTCCACAAAAATCAGACAGTTCTTGTAAGAAATCACCAGAATGCTCATGCTGGGCAGGACCATAAACATTAACCATCCAGAATCTAAATTTTTTAATCCTATTCCTAATCAGAGCAGCCAAAAAATAACTAGCCAACTCTACTTGTTCAGATTCCAAATCATCATTCCTAATACCCAAGATCATACCCCCTGAGTGACCTCAAGCTGGAGACCATCTCCAACTAAAATCCTTGTTACCAGCCATTTCTTTCAACTCCCAATCTCCAAAGTCCTGTTTAATAGTCTCTTGTAGGGCAACAATGTCTAACTCCTCTTGTAGAATGTGATCCCTAAATTGATGTTGCTACTTATTTTGTTAACTTGCTAAACATATTAGTTTAGTAAGTTAATTTTAGAAAACACCTAGAGTTGCTCATATAAACTCCTAATCGAGCTATGATACCGCAAAACCTAATGTTGAAGCAAACAAATTCCAGCCACTCACTAGTGCACAAAGCATTCCCCGCATCATCAATATTGTTAAGCATCGCACAACAGCATGCATAGCCTCTTATTTCGAGCAAATCAGACATTGCAAAAGTGCCATGAAGTATTGTACTTAGTACTCAGCAAAGGCAAAACTAAAAGGCAAAGCCTGGTAAAGCATAACACTCAGATAGTCAGATGCTACTTGAATGCCGTACATCAAAATTGTGCTGCTCAATTAGTTGTGAGATGATATGGCGGTTATCCCTGAGAAACTTGAGGGGCCAACTGAATCAACAAAACCACGGACTGAAAGTTCTGGCACAGAAGTATCCCTCTCTTGCAGTAATCCATGTTCTATGTAAACAACAACTACTGTAATGTCATCGTGGAAGAAGCGGCGAACTCCCTTTTCAACTTTCCTGAGGTCATCATACCTCATTTCCCTCTTCTGCGCAGCTTGTTTCAATGCTGCCCTTACCAGTCTCTTTGCGATTCCCTATCAGCATTGGGGGCATTAGATTTAAGTAAGTCTTTCTACAAAGAGAACAAACCATTTGACAGTTAGGTGTTGAAGACATACTCTTCGTGGATTGCTGTGGGCAATTTCAACGGCCTGTTGATTTGTCAACTGCTCCCAAAGACCATCAGATGCAAAAATAATAAATTTATCTTGTGGATTAAGCACCCTTGTACAGATAGATGGCTCTGCTGTAAGAACAGGCCGGCGGAGAGGCTCCGAAAGGCGGAAACGAGTAATAGAGGGATCAAGAGCAAATTCTCGCCTCTTCAAGTAAGCATCCCCAATTGTCCTTGAAACCTATTAGAAAAAAATCAGGAAACATGATCAAAAGGGTATCATTAATTTTGGCAAGATATTCTCTTTTTTTTTAAAAAAAGGGTAAAATATTACCTGTATGTCACTAACAGACATAAAGCTGCAAGTTATAATATTTAACGTTTCCTTAGGCTAAGAAAGATATTAAGATGCAGTAACTGTTGTTCACCAACCTGAATTATGCCCTTGATGCGCCAAACACCATGCTTGAGAACAACAATTTGAGAATCATCTGGATGACGGGATATAAGTTCCTGCCTGACCTCCTCCATACTTGCATTATGATCTCTTGTGAGTGGTTCAGCCACGATCTTGTTTGATGTACCTAGACAGCCAATTACAGCCCTGGAATCACCTAGATTAGCCACATACAGTGTCCCTCTCCATATGACACCAACTAGACAGCAGGATCCAACCGCAGCAATCAAAGGCTTTATAAAACATGTTCTCCGCACAAGTGTCAAGAAGCCTTCCTCAGTAGCAGAAACCGCACTCCGAACTACATCCTCAGATATTGTTCCATTTTCCTGAGCAAGTCCTACAAGATAGGACAGCAGAGGATATTATTATAGCACAGTGGAGAAAACAGGATCAGTCAGAGTATAGCTTGCCATTTACAATGATAAGAAAGGTCACAGTAGCCACAGGTGCTCAGCAGCACCTCAACAAGTGAAGTCAATCTGCCAGAATTACACAACATAAAGTTGAGCAACTGAACACAACAAGAATCTACCTAATCTGCTATTGCAAAGGACCACGAATACTGATAGCTCGTCCAATGATCAGAATCCACTCAGTCACTGGAAAGAGTATTGCATTGTCCATTGCTCTGCTCATGAAACAACAGCATGCTTAATAAGTGGAAAGTAATCCAACATGTACTGCGCTTAGGAAAACAGCACTCATCAAATTTCTCATTTTCCAAACATACAGATTGATGTTCCAAAAACAAAAGTAGCATGTGCGTGAGCCCTTGTAAGTGCTCAATTAAAAAAAAACATGTTTCAGGCCTCGTAAGTGCCCACTTAAAAAACGGAAGCACAAAACTTAAGTGCGCAGAGCTAACAATCACAGATGGCTATTAGCAGTAAAAAATACAAAATCATTAATCATCACACTAAAAAATGAGACCTACAGGGAAAAAATTCATCATCACCATTATTACAAGTGAATTGAGTTATTCCGAAGGCTGCTACTTACGGATGAGGTGTGCGAAGAGGTGGTCAGATATGAAGCGGGAGGCCTCAGCGCCGCCGTGACCGTCGTAGACGCCCACGAATGTTGCGGCAGAGCCTGTCTCTACTTGGCTGTGGTCCTCCAACGCCTCGTTGGCCTGCACGACGGCAAACGAGAACTCACCCGCCGCGTGGCGCCCGAGGTCCCGCGACCACAGCAGGTCGTCGGCGACGCCGCGGCCGTTATCGCTGCCGCCGCCGTCCTCATCCTTCCTCGTACGCGCGCACCTCCGGACCGGGCCCAAGCACGCGGACGCAATCTTCGTCAACCACGGCCACATCCCTCATTTCCCACCTGACTCGCCGCTCCTCCCCGAACCCCAGAACCGCCGCACCGGATGGGGTCTCTTATTAGCACCACGAATTCGCCCCTCTTCCTGGCAAAATTACACCTGTAACATGACGAAATTAGATTTTCAAGGCCGATCCCCCAGTCGTTGCTTATATAATTAAACACAACATGCAGCAAGGGCTACAATTTGTTCTTTATTCAGATTGCTTCTCCTCGAAGCACGAGAATTGCAGAATGGAAGAGAGAACTCTCGGAAAGTCAGAATCTTACCGAAACGGCCGCTTATTAGTGCAATGATTGGAATTCACGTTTAGGAAACTAGACTAGAGAAACTATCGGCTCGCGGAGATTTTGACTTTGGAAGCTCGGATCGTCAATGAGGTTGTAGCGAAGAAGACCCAGGAGTTTTTGGTTTGGAGAGGTGGGACAGGCTTTACAGGCGGCGGCTCAGCGTGAGTTTTGCAGCGGACCGGATCAGCAGATCTATTTATAGAGCCGTTTAGTTAGAACGACCCTGAGGTTGAGGTTATTTACGAGAGTGGCAGCCTGTGACCGCGACTGGAATCGTCGGATTGGAGAGGGCTTGGGCCTTTGACTCTCTGGTTTGGTTTATGTGGTCATGAGCTCATGGCTATTGGCTCATGGCGGGCTGCGCCGAATTATTTCAGCCGCTCCGCCGCTGTGGTTCCTGCTTACGTTGAAATTTGAGCCGTCGAGCTGCATACACGACTTCGAGCCACCACTTATACCGCAATTATTACGAGTAGCACAACCGCCGCTACTGTCGACAATGGCGGAGCCCAAGTCGTCCAAGAGCAAGTGAGAAGAAACGAATGTTTGCTGCCGGGGACTCTGATTAGGTCATGTACACTCTCACCTCTGATTAGTCCCACCTATGCGCCAGTCTGTTATACCGAGTGTTTGTCGCCTACAGAGCTAACATTTTTCTCACCTCTGATTAGTCTCACCTCTGTTAGTTCAAGCATCACCGAGTGTTTGTCGCCTACAGAGCTGCACAAATGGACAGTTTGTTACCGTCTTAGGTTGAGTCACTGGTTTTGTTGGTCGTGAATTTTATCATGCTAAACGGTGAACCTTTGTTATAAAGTGGCTTGCCATGCTTTTGTCCTAACTCTTGTATTTGCCAAACGTACTCTATATACTATATACTACAAATGTACTCATGATGCATCGATACAGGAAGTGTACTGCTAACCGTACGTCACAAATCAATTGTTGGCGACACTCTGGTTTGTTTATGTGGTCATGAGCCGTTTGGGCTGGGAGTGTAGAAACCAACCGCTTAAAACATTTATGTTGAAATTTAGTCGACATTGATGATAAATTATTATGTTCAAACTATCACAAAGTTCTTGTATGCTGTGCTCTGATTAGGTCATGTACACTCTCACCTCTAATTAGTCCCACCTATGCGCCAGTCTATGCATTTCAAGCATCACCGAGTGTTTGTCAGAGCTGACAAACCAATTACTCCTAGCCATGTTCTGTACACGGAGTATGCAGTGACAAATTAACCAATTACTCGTAGCTATATACATGGAGTGTGTCCAAAATTTCTTTTTCTCTTTTAATATAAAATGGAGTTATATAGTACTAGTGCTAGATAATCTTAGCTATATATATATATATATATATATATATATATATATATATATATATATATATATATATATATATATATATATATATATATATATATGAGTGAGGTCATGTTTGGATCAACTAAGCCGGCTAATTGGGGACAGAGGGAGTACTAGTGCTAGATAATCTTAGCTATATATATACACGGAGTTGTTCGACTGATGGTTTTTACGACTGATAAGTCGACTGATGCTGTTTTGTTGTGAGAGAAAAGCATTATATTATACCTGATAAGTTCAAGCAAACAAGATATAGAATACTCCTAAGTTGCTAGTTGCTAAAAATAGCTCTAGCTGATCCATTATAGATCAAATTTTGAACTATTCAACCATTCAACTTAAAAAAAGCTATTAGCTAGCTCCTTTTGGCCATTGAAGCTATTAGCTAGCTCCTTCCGACGCCGCTAGAGGCCAGGGATTCCTGAGTGCTTAAAGAGAATAGTTATGTAGGTCCCACTTGCTAGCATCGTTATGTTGTAACCTTTCTAGTTTTAATTTAATATGTGCTCAGACAGGCTCCCCAAAAAATTGTTTGAGAAAGAGAGAAGGGCAAGGGGTCGATCCTACTTTACTTTTGTGTTTCAAACAATGAACATAAACAGTTGTGTTTGTTTTTTATAATAGAATTGTTCTTCGATAGGGGAACTCTAGCGATTTGCTTTTAAAGGATATGGCACGAGTGTAATCAGAGATACGTATGCCTTCAAATGCACGAGACATGAGACATGGTAGAAAAACAGGAGACGAGACACGGTAGAAAAACATGAGAACACGAGAGAGGTATGAGAGAAAAGAGAACACTTAGTCACTTAGAGGACACATGTGTCGAGGTGGGATCCAACCATAGATGCCTTTGTTCTAAGGCCCTGTTTGGAACGCAGGAATCATGTGATGTAGGCGTGCTAGGGTTTAATTTCAACTAAATGAATGAGCTCAATAATAGTGTTCTAAATACAATTTCACATAGAAAACATACTGTAGTTTTAACATTAATCTATATCATGGTGGTCCATGGCACAACGTTCCAAACATGCTCTAAACACTTGGTACTCCTTTACACCAGCGAATCTTCTTCAACTGCTCCCCGCACTACTCCTGGCCTCCTGCACACATACTCCTTACACTAGCGAATCTTCTTCTTCAACTGCTCCCTAGAACTCACGTCACGACGGTGTGACGAAGGGCACAACGGCTAGGCTCCCGTGGTGCCCAAATCGCATCGAGATGGAGGCGACCAGCAGATCGGTGAGTACGATGGCCGCCAACTTGGTGAAGATGAGAAGGAGAGGCAGTTCTTCAGAGCCACCATGAGCGCGCCCGGGAGCAGAACGACAGACACCGTCAATACCAGAACTCCGAAGGTGACCTACGACGCGACGTTCCAGGTGGTGACACGTTGCAGCTCTGTGACGAGGCTAATGACAACAACTGCATCGTAGCAAAGAAGCCCGAAGAGAGGTGCAGGATCGGCGACGATGGTAGGGGCGTGCCACCAGCAGAACCAGGGGGCCATGCCCCAACCCTCCCCCCCCCCCACACACACACCCCACCCCCGCGCATCATGTAAAAATTTCAATTGCACAACACAAAAGGTTATAATTTACCTATTTTTATGATAATTTTGTGTATTTTTTATGAATACTAAGTCAAACATTAAAAACTATTGAGTCATACTCTCTCCGTCCCTAAATAACTGTCGTTTTCGTTTTTCGAGATGCAACTTTGACTTGACGGCCATGATGCACGTCATGACAGCGGCGAAGGGCACAACGGGCAGGCTCCCGTGGTGCCCAAACCGCATCGAGATGGCGGCGACCAGCAGATCGGTGAGGATGATGGCCGCCAGCTTGGCGCAGATGCGAAGGAGAGGTAGTTCTTTAGAGCCACCATGAGCGCGACCGGGAGCAAAACGACAGTTACCGTCAGCACTACAACTCTGAAGGCGACCTGTGGCGCGGCGTTCCAGGCGGTGACACGTCGTAGCTCCGTGATGAGGCTAATGACGATAGCTGCGTCGTAGCCAAAAATGCCAAAGAGAGCTGCAGGATCGGCCATGACGGTAGGGGCACGCCACTGGCGGAACCAGGGTGCCATGCCCCCCCCCCTCCCCCCACATTTTTTGTAATATCATGAAAAAATTTCAATTGCACAACACAAAATTTATTAGTTCACCTATTTTTTATGATAAAATTGTGTGTTTTTATGAATACTAAGTCAAACATCAAAGAGACATACTCTCTCCGTCCCTAAATAAATGATGTTTTCGCTTCCCGAGCAACAATTTCACAAAAAAGTATATAAAAATATTAATATTTATGGTACATAATTAATATAATTAGATATATAGTTAAATCTATTTTGATAATACATTTATTTGGAGATACAAAGGTTATATGTGTTTTCTATAAATCTAGTTAAATTTACGGCACGGAAAGAAAAAAAAAAGACAATTATTTAGGGATGGAGGGAATACATTAGATGTATATATTTATTGCGGCATGGAAACCAAAAGCGACAGTTATTTATGGAATGGAGGGAGTAACTCGATGTATATATTTATTATATTTACAAGGTGTCATCGTATTGTCTTCCCCTTAATCAAAACTGCTTCAGGCTGAAAATAGGGGCAGTTGATCATCGATTGTGGGAGGAGGAGCAGCTGCAGCAGGATCGGCAGCTGATCGTACAGTGGGAGGAGGAGGAGTAGCAGGATCGGCCAGCGGCTGATCGGCGACGACGATGGTGAGAGGAGGATCGGCGACGGCGGCCATTGAGAGGAGGATCGGCGATGACAACGATGGGAGGAGGATCGCCGTCGTCAGGGGCATGGTCCATCGTGCTAGGAGGTGTGCTGATCGGTTGAGTGTCGAGAGGAGGAGCTGCTGTCGCTGGACAGAAAGAACAGGGAGGATGAATTTAATCCAATTGCTCGTGTGTGTGAATTACCAGGGTCATGAGAAGCTTCGTTTGTTCTCTGATAATGTCATTCCAATATTCCATTCATCTGCCCTCTCTGCTCTCTATATCTGAGAGGAGCCCTCCGTCAGTGAGTAGCTTTTGCTGAACCACCTTTTCTTATTCATCTGTTTCATGGAGCTATCTGTCAAAGAGGAGTTGGAGATGAGCTGAGTAAGATTGTGATGTAATCTGCTTCGGTCGCTCTCTTTGCAGTCCAATGATGAGTTCCTATGAAAAGGTGAAGATTCTTCCCAAAGGCAAGAGAACAAGCTACGACTTACATATGACAGCAGGCAAGAGAACCTTAAGCTGTTCGGCTGATGGTTTTTGCCGCTGATAAGCCAGTTGATGTTGTTTTATTATGAGAGAA